CCAGAATTCCCCAGCCAGCAATGCTGGCTGGGGAATTCTGGGAGTTGAAGTCTACACGTCTTGAAGCTCCCAGGGTTGAGAAACACTGCTGTAGAGCATCTGTGGATGGGAGGAAAAAAGGGACTTTACCTGTTGTTCCCATCTCAAGGATTCTCTTTGCATCCAGAGGAAATCCTCAGCCAGGGCCACCGCCTGGGCGCAGCACGCAGGGCCTCGCTCCCGGACCCAGTTCTGGATCTCTGGGGGCAGGACGGTCAGGAACTGTTCCAGGATGAGCAACTCCAGGATCTGCTCCTTGGAGTGTTTCTCCACCTTCAGCCACTGACGGCACAACGCCTGGAGCCGGTTGTAAACCCCGCGTGGCCCCTCGGCCTCCTGGTAGCGGAAACGCCGGAAATGCTGGCGCTGTTTCTCTCGGCTCAGGGCGTCCCGGTGCAGGATAGCTGCTTTCACTTTCCCATAATCCTGCCTGTCTCGAGCCTCCAGGTGACCGAAAGCCTGCTCGGCTTCTCCGCGGAGGGCGGGCAAAAGCCGTGCTGCCCACTCTTTCCGGGGCCACCGGCAGGCCTCGGCCACTTGTTCGAAGGAGGCCAGGAAGCCCTTGGTGTCGTCCCAGGGGGTGGGCTCCTCTGGCCCCTGGCTGCCCCCCCAGCCAGAGTGCAGAGAGCCTGCAGTTATGACCAGGTCTTGCCACGGTCGGGGTAACTCTTCGCCCGGCTCTCGCATCTCCCCACCCAGTTTCTTTGGACAAAACTCCCACACGCTTTTCCCCTGGACATCACTCGAGGCTTTCAGGCTGGCCATCATCTTCCTCCTGCCCCCTCTTCTCCTGAATGCAGAACGGGAAGATCGCAAACACGTTGGCAAATCCGTGGGGCCGGGACTTGTCTGAGGGCTCTTTTCCTTCCCAAAGCTGCCCGCTTGCTTGGTCAGAGAAGTAACTGTTTTTCCAAAAGGCTGAAAAGAGGGGGAGAGAAGAGGGGGGGGGAATGGGAAAAAGCCAACCAAAACAGCTAAGTTTGTACCTTGTTGAACCCTTTCTGAGTGCCCAGCCAGATTGGCCCTCTGTCCAAAAGCAGACAATTCCTTGCATCTAAAAAGCTAGTCTGTCAAGGGGAATATATCTTTAGGGATGAGAATACGGGGACAATGAGCCAGCAAACAAGGAACAAGAAGGCACTGAGGAGACCCAGCTTCTGGCCCCCCCTTCAACCATGGGAGCTGCCTGGGGGACTCAAGGCCAATCTCTCTCTCTCACTCAAAAAAAAAGAAGGGGGAAGTGCTATGAATGCCATCTTGAGCTCCTGTACAAAAAGCAGTATATAAGCCTAGCCAAATATTAGTAAATAAATAAATAAATAAATTGTAGTAGGGTCCTAAAAAGATGCCTCTTTATAAATTATAATCAAGCAGAAAACACATTACAAACCAAATATATTACACAGAACAGAATGCTGGAATAGAATCACTCCTGAACACTTATAGCTTATGGAAGAACGGGCTGCTTCTGACTTCAAAAGTTCCTCTAATCACACAGATTAACTCATCCATCGCCTATTGTTGGAAAAAACTGAAATTTCTTTGCTCAAACATGGGTGGGGTGGGAGCCCCATCTATTTTGCGGCACTGCTCCACCCACTTCAGCTCTCACTGCCCAACTGATACAGAACCCTCCCCCCTCCAAAGGATACTCACATCACCTTCATGCCCTCTGGACACAAACCAGCGACATAACCTTTGCTTTGAAAATGGCTTGTTTCAAAGAAACCATCGTTACAGATTGAGATGGTACAAGAAGGCGTGTAAAGTCCAAAGTTCTGGCTACAGCACCGCAGGAGAAGGAAGCTGCTGTTACAGTAAAGTAAGTAACTTTCCACATGGTGCTTTTATACCTGCACTTTTCCTTGCTCTGCCTCTACACTTCTTTTCCCCTGGATCATCCAGTCTCTGTGAAGGAAAAATGCCTTCTTTTATTTGGCTGGGGCAGGCTGGGGATGATGGGTATTATAACTCATGCCCAAGGCGCTAATTCAATGGATGACTGATGGGCAGATCTGCACTGCACTGAAATTTAAAAACATTTAAATAGATTCCTGCCATCTAATGGATCCGTGTATCTCTTATACGATGGAAATAGCTTCCCCTTTTCCAGCTGGCATTTTAGTTTCCAAAAATGGAGGCATTGCAATAACTTGCTTTTTTGCTTCTTTTCATTGGGCATTGGAAAAGCTCCTTGTATCTGATGAGTATCAATTTATACACCCCTCTTCTCACTCCATCCAAGAACCTAAAAGGGCACAGCTTTGATACAAAGATCAGCCACTTCTTTATAGAATCATGGAACATAAGGGCTGGAAGATATCTTTGAGGTCATCTAGTCCAAGGTTCCTCAACCTCAGCAACTTTAAGATGGGTGGACTTCAACTCCCAGATAGTCCAACCCCTTGCCCAGTGCAAAACTCCGCTACTGCATCATCCCCCATAGGAGGCCTTTCTGGTCTCTCTTTAAACACTTCCAGTGTTTAAACACCCACCACCTCCTCAGGCCGTCTGGTCTATGGCAGAATCCTCCCCGATACAGAACCATAAAATGGGACGGTTGGAAGTCTCTGAGAGATCACCTAGTCCAGCCCCCTGCTCAGTGCAGGAATTCACCACCGCGGCTTCCCCAAGAGATGGCCGTCCCCTCGCTCATCTCTAAGCGGACACCTTCAGCGAAGGAGAGTCCGCCATCTTCTCAGGCCGTCCGGCGCGCTAGCTCTTTCCGTTCAGAAATTCTTCCTGATGCCCAACCAGTATCTTCTTCCATGGCACTGAAACTCATTCTTTTTTCTTTTTTTTTGGCTTCCTTCTGAAAAATTTCCCTCCCTCCTTTCCCCCCCCCCCCCCAAAAAGTGGCTTTTAACTGTCTCCCCTGATGAACAAATTTTAAGAAAGTCAAAAGGATGCGACCTGGATAAGGCTTTAGCTGGCCTAGTAATGCAAGGCATTGGTTCTGCGGGCTGTTTTTCGGCTCAGGGTCAACCCAGCGGCTCTTGGTGCCTTTGAGTCAGTCTTGACTCCTGGCGACCGCCTGGACGAGTCCCTGCAGGCGTCCTGGCAGCCGTTTGCCGTTTCCCTTTTCCTCCTGGGGCTGAGAGAGGGGCCGGCCCAAAGTCGCCCACCTGGCTTCGTGCCCAGGGCAGGGCTGGGACTCGCAGCCTCCCGGCTTCTAGGCTGGGGCTCTAACCACTGCCCCAGACGGCCTCTCACAGCTGCTATTCACGGGGCTTCCGCTCGTCCGCAAGCCGCAACCCCTTTGCCGAGAACCAGCCCTGATGACCGGTCCGGACAGCGCTCCTGAGTCCTCGCCACCAGAGCGACTTCGCAGCCCCGCAGCGCACCCCACACCAAGCCTGGGCGCCGCCTCCCCGACAGCGAAGCCAGCACTCGGGGCTGCCCAACCGACCCTTGCGGCGTGCTGACGGGGGCCGATCCAACCCGGGTTGGGTCAGGCGGTGGTGGGAAGTCGCCCAACTTGGAGGGCGCCACCTTGGAGAAGGCGCCGGGCGGCGTGGGCGCTAAGCAGCCTCCGAACTCCCTCCCGCTGAGCGGAGGGAGGACCGCGGCGCCCAGCTCTGCGGGACTGCCTCGCCCATCATCCCCGGCCATGCCGGCTGGGGATGACAGGAGCTGGAGCCCTGGCCCTCTGCCCTCTGCCCCCCCCCCTTGAGGACTTGCCTTTTCCTCTGCGTGGCTTAGAAAGACGCCGCTCGCCCAGGCGCCCTCCGAGGGGGGACCCGTCGCCTTCCAGACCCCGAAACTACGGCCGCTCCCGGGGGAGAAAAAGTACATCCATACGACCCAGTTTCCAAGGGAGGAAACAGGACAGGAAGAGGCGGGGAGAAGCCGCCGAGGCGCCCGTCTAGGAAGCTCCTCTCGCTCTCCCTCCCTCCTCGTGCTTTTGCGAGCGGACCTCGGGGTCGCCGGACGCCCGTTCAGCCTGGCAATCGCTTTCTCTTTCTCTTTCGCCTTTCCCTTTCTTTCCCTTTCCCTTTCTTTCCAGTTCCTCTTCCTCTTCCTCTTTCCCTTTCTGTCTTTCTTTTTCTCTTTTCTTTCTTTCTTTCTCTTTCCCTTTCTTTCCAGTTCCCCTTCCTTTCTCTTTCCTTTCCCTTTCTTTCCAGTTCCTTCCTTTCCTTTCCATCTCTTTTTCTTTTCCCTTTCCCTTTCTTTCCATTCCCCTTCCTTTCTCTTTCCTTTCCCTTTCTTTCCAGTTCCTTCCT